CCCTCCCTCCCTCCCTCCCTCCTTTCTTCCCTTACAGTGGAGTTCAGTTTGTACTGGCTAATTACTGACTTTCTCTCCCTGAAACAATAAAATGCCAATAGCTCTGCAGCTAGGGGTGAGACTTCAAGTATACCTTCACTCCTCCCTTTTGGGTTTTTGTTTATCTTGAGATTGTGTAGGTCTTGTGTCACAATTTGCTATGAGTTTATATGTGCACCTGTCCTGTTCATATGTGCACCTGTCCTGTTCATGTGTGTACCTGTCCTGTTCAGTGTGGACCTGCATTGCTCCCACATTCTCCTCCTCTGGTGCTTGCAATCTTTCTGCTCCTTCTTCAAGGCCTTCCAGGCCTTGAGAGAAGGACTATACATTCCATTTAAGGTGAAACACTCCAGACACTCTAATCTCTCAATCTCAACACATTGACCAGTTGTGAGTCTCTGTGTAAACTGACACCTGTTGTAAGAGTAAGTTTCTCTGCGGGTTTAACAGACTAGTAATAGGTCTTCTCTTAGGGGCCATGACTTAGCTAGCCCCTGTTTTCAGCTTCACTGACAGTGTTAGGTATGGGTTCCATATCATGTAACAGGCCTAAAATCCAAATTTAAGAAGTGGTTGGTTACTTCAAATTTCATGTCACCATTGCACCAGTAAGCATAACTTGCCAAGCAGGCCACTATTTTCGTTTGCAAGGGTCATAGATGGGTAAGATTGATTATGACTGATCTCCTGGTAACACGCATAGCATCTTCCATCACTGTGAAACCTAGCCAGTAGGGATGAAGGGTCAAGGTGAGCACCAGTTTGATTTTTCCATGTTCTATGATTCAAGTACGAGTTGTCTTCAGCAGCAGGGTCTTACACTCAGGTTGTGGAAATAACCAACAGCCTGTAATGATCAGGTAGTCTGTGGGGTTCCATTAGACAACAACTCAAAAATAGGTAACCAATTCTTGGTATTGGGTAATTTATTTGGTAATGTATGGTGTCTAGCTGGGGCATTGTCCTGCCATTTATAGGATAACTACTTTTAAACTGAATACAACAAAGTTAACTAAATTAAACTAATATACCCCCCACACACACATGAAAGCTTTTACAGTAGTGGGTTTCCATATGGCTTTTTAAAAAGTCTCTTAACATTTGTTACTATTTCCTGTATTCCTTTATTTACCCTACCTTCCTGTCCATTTTCCTCCCCTTTCCCCATCACAACTGTGCTTTATTATGGGAGGCTACTTTGAAGAGGGGCATCCATATGAAATTAGCCAGACTGAGAAGCACTGTAGACTTGATGAGTCTTATGGCCTCTGAAGCACGGGGCATAATGACGGGAGCTCATTTTATTACTGGATTCATATCTTCCCTCCCCTCGTTCTCTTTTTTCACTATGGATCTCATGGAGCCAGGATTGGTCTCAAAATCATTCTACAGCCAAAGATGATTTCTTCAATGTCCAATCCTCAGCCTCCACCTCATGAGCGTTAAATTACAGGTGTTCACCATCACATGATGATTCAGTACTTGGCACCAAACCCAGGCCTTTGCGTATACTAAGGCAAACACTCTAACAACTGAGCTCCGTCAATGCCCTGAGCTCAGATTTCTTTATGTATCCTTTCCTCCCTAGTGTCTTCTTTCTGTCCTTACTTGCCTGGTCTGTATGTCCTTTCCTGTCTCTCTCTTCCTCCCTTGTTCCCTTCTTTCTTCACCTTCATAATCTGGTGGTGGTTCTCCCCAGGGGACAGTGCAGTGTCAAGTGTGTAATAATACATACTTGCCCCCTGATGATCTGGAATGAAAACCAAACTTGGAATCAGAACTTAGTACTTAGCCCCAGCTCTGCAGCTCACAGGCTGTATGACCTTAGAAAGCTCGCCAGCCACTCTGTGCTTCAGTTTTCTCCAATGGCTTATCTACTGTGTAGAAATGCTAGAAATGGCACATAATGAGATATATTAGATTCTTCCATAAGGTGCATATGCGCATTATACAAGTCCAGCCATGACTTCTTCCTGGTTTGCGTATTATGATGGCTGTTCTCACGGTTTCCCCATGCCTTCTGTGAAATGCAAACACTCAATCACTGTCTCTTACTCATCACACATTATTAGATAGAAGAAATGATCCTTGAATAAAAACACATGAAATGATAATACCTAGCCTCAGGTTATGCAAATCAAACTGTAAGTTTGGGAGGAGACGACTTTGCAAGAGCTGTTTCCAGTCCCATTTGCAGGAGACACTCAGAGACTCGGGGTCACGCTTGCTCACAACTCTACTCTGAGCGTTCTCACAACATGAGTTTTCCTTCTTTCTCTAGAACTCCTCTCGTGGGCCTGAAGGGCTAGCATTCTTGCTGCCTCTGTGTTTGGATCTTCTGGCAAATGCAGTGATGCCATATGGTGTATGGAGAGATTAATTTTTACTCCGTTTTAAGACCTGTTTACTGTTGTACATTCCTTTTTAAGAGAAATCTGTCACTAGGGCCGACTTTTTAAAATCCTTTGAAAATGTGCTGGGCTCATTTACATTTTGGTCAAGAAAAGAAAAATACATACTTTCTATTTCCCTTTTGCTAATGTATTGAATTATTGTTTGTTTGCAGGCATTGCATGATTTCCAAAACAGATTTCTAGGGACAGACTCAAGACAAAGAATATAGAAATAGCTGAGGAAAGCCCATGCTGCTCCTGACCTGGGTTACCATAACAGAATGAACACAGGTGGCTAAGGCTTTACACATGTCAGCTCTCAGCACTCATAAAACCCCAATACCACAGGGCTGCGCTGCACACACTGTGCAGTCAAGGGGTTAAGCAAGCTTTCTATTTTATGGGCCCTTAAATCTTAAGTGATGTTCTGTGTTGTGCATTACAAGGACAGCCAGGAGAGGTATATATAACTTTTTTTTTCTTCACATCACCTAAGTAAGAGTTTGAAAGCTTGGTAACACCCCAGGAGCAAGAAAAGCATAAAAGCATTTGCCAGGCACAAGGCAGAGGAGATGCATTAAGATTTCCCCCTCCTTTAGAAAGTACATGTGCACATGTGCAAGCATACGTGCAAGCACACATGCACGTGTACTCTCACACAGAAACATACACCTGCACATACTCAAATGAAATACATTTAGGAAAGCCCCCTTTTACAAAAGAACAAATTGATCTTTGCAATATTGTAAATATTTTTTAAAGTGTCAGTTTCCTTATAAACTGTGAACATTATCTAATATGGAAAGGTCTACGTCAGGTTTCTAGTAATGGAGAATAATCATTGCTTCTTTATTCTCAGAAGTTTTTCCGGTTGGATCTTAGTCCTTTTGAGGCTTTCTTTAAAATTGAAAATTTATATTTCAAACCTCATTAAATTTCTCATGGCCTGGGTATCTATAAGCCTTTTGGATATTACTTTTATTATTTCTTTGCTTCAATTCATATGAGTATATACTCCTTGAAGTGGTTATCTACATAGAATGCTTTCATCTTCATCATTACAAATTGTTCACTTTAGGAACTAAAAGATCCTAAGAGGCTTCAGGTATGACTGAGTGGACTTTACACATACACATACGTGTCTCTATATAACGTTACTTCTCTCTTTTATTTTGTAAAACAAAACAAAAAACAATGATGTCTGTGTGGGTGTATGTGCACCTATGTGTGTGAGAATGTATGTGTATCTTGTCTGGCATCTGTATGTGAGCATATGTGTACTGTGTGTGCAGGTGGAAATGGCTTTATCCTAGCACTGAGGCCAGAAGAAGATGTTGGGTATCCTTCTCTCTCATTCTCCACCTGCTCCTTTGAGTTTGGATCTTTTCTTGAAACTGAGGCTCACCTTCTCATGGATAAGCTGGAAGCCAGCAAGACCCAGAAATCCGCAGGCATGATTCCTTGGAATTAGGGTAAAGCACAACACAGCATTTTACACAGATGCTGGGATCCTCGTGACTGCATGGTAAGAGTTCTTAACAACAATGCCCACTGTCCATCTTCTTATATGATGTATTTAGGCCATTAAATCTATCTTTTCTAAACTGATTTTGAGTGTGTATATATGCACCGTAATAATAGTACTCTATTAATTCTATTCAACAAATTTCTCCTCCTCCTCCTCCTCCTCCTCCTCCTCCTCCTTCTTCTTCTTTGCCTGTATTGGGAATAGAAACTAACATGGTAAGTGAATAAAATATAGTAATCTGAAATAAATTGTACAAACAATTTATATATAAATATATGTAAGTAACAATGAACAGAAGTTATAGACAACAGAATAAGATCTTCAAGCATGGAAGACACATCCCAATAAAACAATTATGGCACTTCCATTTACTTTAGCATGGAATCTATTCACTTTGACTATTCCTACTATGATTCCTTTGAATCTTATCTTCATACTTAATGTTTTCTTCTGTTTGGAGAGTTCTTTTCAAATCTCAATGGTTAAATTTATAATCCCTTCTTTTTTCACATTTTAAATTGCCTTACATTTCTAAAATATTGTTTCTATGTACTTTTTTTCCTGTCAGATAATCCCATCCACACATGTCTCTGAGGTTTCAGTCTGTTAATTCTTCTTATTCTTGCTTATGTGTCTTTTGTCTTTCCTGTGTATTGCAGTTGGTCTGAGTCATGGTTCTATTGCCATGAGCAAGGCAGCTCTTATAAAAAAAAGTATTTAGCTAAGGACTTCTTATATTTTCAGAGGTGGGTACATTATCATCATGGTGGGAAGCTGACAGGCATGGTGGTGGAGCGGTAGTTAAGAGATCCATTGTGATCCACAGATAGCAGGTAAAGAACAAGATAGTGGGCCTGGCAGGGGCTTTTGAAACCACGAAGCTCATCCCCAGCAATGAACTCCTTGATTAAGGAGACACTGACTAAACCTTCCAAACATTCATCAATTGGAGACTAAGCACACAAGCATATGGGTCTATGAGGGCAATTTTCATTCAAACGACCAACTTAAAAAAACGACCAACCTGAACTGATAGGATGGCTCAGTGGGTAAAAGTACTCGGTATGCATGCCTCACAACCTGAGATCAATTTCTGAAGCTCATGGTGGAAGAAGATTGGCTCCAGAATGTTGTTCTCCAACCTCCACATACAGGCTCTAACATGTGGCAGGACACACACACACACACACACACACACACACAAACACACAAACACACAGACACAGACACTAATAATAAGTAATAATAATAACTATAATAACAATCATAAAATAACCTGTTTTTCTTCTGCCTTTATTCACGGGAGTCATTTAAGGCTTCCCTTAGGTGTGTTTCTGATGTAGGCTTTGCATTTGGTTTTGCAAAGTGCCTGGGACATCATCAGTCCTGGGTAATCTTTGGCTGCTGGATTTTGTTTGTTTCGTGTTGTTTTTTCACTGTCTTATGTAGGTTGGCTGGCACATTCTGGAAGTCGCCGAACTAATTTAGAGGTGTGGAGTTCTGGGACAAGAAAATGGCGGGTCCACATGGTAACCTAGTTGTGTCATATCCACATGGTTTACAGAAACATCAAGAATTCCCTTTTACCATGATCATTACTGTGATACGATGAAAGGTTCCGTACCTGTCCTCTTTAATTCTTCCTTCTACCCACTAGCAATATCAGACTTTACTTCAATATAGGAAGAACACTATCTAGCAAAATGTTTTTGGTCTGCTTACCTCGTGTGCACTGCTCTAAATAATTCTCCACTTCTGAAGTCAGAGAATACCTTCCTCCTTCAGGGCCAATATGGTTTATTGCCCAAACCATTAATTGTGTCATTCCTCAGCTCCAGTGGATTGCGTATCTGCATCTGAGAGAGAGAGAGAGAGAGAGAGAGAGAGAGAGAGAGAGAGAGAGAGAGAGAGAGAGAGAATTGCATATCTACATTTTAGAGAGAGAGGGAGACAGAGAGGAGGGGAAGGGGGAGATAGGTTAAAGATAAACTATAAAGTCCAAAGTCAGAGACCAGTCTTTTTAGTTACGTATTCTTCATTACCTTCTTCACTGTTAGGGGCCTCAGGCACACAGGGAAAGAGATGCTAGTGGGATCACGGTCCATCTCTGCCACACCTTCCTCATCAATTAATGAGATCCTCATTAACACGTACATTCCTCAGTTGTGATGTTTGTCTTGTTAACTTCTCTGTCTTCCTGTAGGCTGACTGTTTCTCATTCCATTCTGATCCCTCACTTTTAGCTCTCCCACTGACTTCATCTTCAACTTTACTTCTTCCAGAAAAACAAAGTCTTTGGACAGTAAGTATCCTAATCATAGAAATCATATGACATAACCAAAAATCAGCCCAATTGGCTTTTATTACAAATTGCAATGTTTATTAGCCTTGACTTTGTTCCTTGGAAACAAGCAGATGAAGCAACACTTTTCCTTGAGTATAAATCATTAAAAGGATAGAAGGACCTTTATCAACTCAGACAACAGCCCAGAGTAGGAAGAGCTTGTGTGTCTCACTCTGCCTGGAGCCTTAAGGAATTACATTACCGTCCCCCACACCTTCCCCCTACCCCCCGTTTCTAAGTCAATTTGTACAGGTAGCCTTAGCACCTGGTGCTCTCACCAATATCTTACTGGTGTAGAACAGCACTGAGATCCCCCCATCGTCCCCCCTTTGCCCTGAGGTGCTTTTCTACCCAACTTTAACAAACCCAGTTGTGTTCAAGTAGACTGCTGCCTACTAATGCCAGTTATCATGAAGCTGATTATGGTAATCAGAGAAATAAAGACGCAGCAGTAGAGATGCAGACTGTAATGTCTGATCAGAAATCTTGTATTGACAAGGATCGATAGTCCTACACCTAGGACCGCATACGCAAACCAATCTGGAATGGGTGATACGACTACCATGTTACACAGTGGCTATAATCAGAAGTACTTTAGGGAATATATATTTTCATTCAAACGTGACAATTTCATGAAACAAGCATGTTAATTAATGTCCCAGACCCCCCCCTCCCCAAAACTTAACCTAATTCTGATTTGTTCCCTCGTTTTATCTGCCTCCATTGGTATGTAGGATATACTGAGTTGTGCGGTGTAATTCAAAGTTATACCAATGCTAGGAAATGAGGGTTCCTACCATAGCACGGTTGCTCAGTAAGCCGTCATAACTATAATTCAACCCTCAGATCACTAAAGAAAACCATAAAGGCCCGCTTCCCCTCTTCTTATCTCAGACTTGAGGGATTTCCAGATGCATCACTGCTGACTTCAGGTTGGATAACAGAACAGGGTCAGTATAAAGGGAATCAAAGTGGCTAGAAACGCACTTCCCACGCATAACATTTCCACACAGCAGGCGTGGAAGGAACTCAGCTGATGCAAAACCTCCTGTTTAGTTCTTACCTCTGCAATAACATCCTGATAGCAAAGTTTTGAACCATAAAGCAGCATGTTAAGATCAACATTATACACAAGTGTGAGCTGGGCCCAGGAAAACGTCAGATCAAAAACCGGTGGAGGTCGATATTAGTGACCATATTTAGATATGTCCTATGTGATGTTGCTTCTGAGCAAAGAGCTAGTTTCACACTAGTGACACCGACGGCACACAAGAGTCTCATTAAGGAGTGCTGCTTAGTAAGTGTCTGTGGCCGTGCTGGGCTTGCTCCAACCTTCTCCCTGCCTCTTTTGGCATCTACTCACTTTGGAGATTTTCATGCATCTGTTGAGCCTGATTTCTGTTATGTTCAGTTCCAGAGTGAGAACAGTGGGGTGTACGTGTTGGTATGTCTGCCTTGGCAGAGGACAGAGGATGGCAAGCTTAGTGTTTACATATATTGTTGACATTGCTAATGTGTCACAGAGGCTAACAAAATTTGAGGAGCTCAATATCTTCCCCTGGAATTTATTCTCTCTTGAATAAGGAAAATACCATTTCTCCCACTGTGTATCTTTTAGAAGCACCACCTGCTCAGCCCATCCCTTAGCCAGCAATAACCGTGTATATCTGAACACAGACTCTAAATTCAATAAAAAATTCAGTTGTGATATATCTACCTTGGGTTGAATGTCTATCGGAAAAAAATTTATATTAAGATCTGTTTTGAAATTTCTGGAGTTTTGAACCTCAAGATCTGTTCAAATGCCAGCTCTTGGCTTATAGTTATGTGACTTAAAAAATCTGACACTCAGTAACCTCATTAGGTGTTATATTCACATCTGAAAATTGGGGAGAACAATAGCACCCATAGTAGTCACGGATATTAAAGGAGACTATTCAGGACAGCTCTCAGTTCAGCGCTTGGGAAATTATTGGGGCTCGATGACTATGGGCTATGTGGTAATCGTATCAGCATGTCAGCATATTCCTGGACTGAACGACTCTTACATAGCTGTCTTCATGTTGATTACTGATCTCAGTGTGGGCCCCCAGGTACCCCCAGTTGCCTGTCTGTTGTTTTGGTAGAGTGCTACCATCCATCAACAAGGTTACTCTGGTGACTCCTCTGCACAACTGCTCATTTCTCTACACGTCTTGGCGAGGCATCTGCACCAAGATTAAGTCAGCCTGCTCAACCACTTTGTCTCCAAATTTATAAAATCAAAATAATTGATAAATGATGTATTTTGTGGGCTTTAATGTAAACAAAATGAAAAGTGTCAAAATGCGTATAAGAGAAAGAAATGTAGAAGAGGTCATTCACTATGGTCCCTACAGCCTTCAAAGCACACAAACATAACTCCTTGTTGTTGATGGTTGGGGAAGCAAGAAATGATTCCTCAACAAGGTCATATCGTCATTAGTGGCAAGTAAGTTCTAGGACAGATAGCTGATGGGACAAGTGTGTCAGTGGTCCATGCATTTTGTTCTGTGATTATACTCATGGGTCCTGGACCTCATTTGCTTGCAAGCTGCCCTTGCTGCTCAAGTAGTTGGCAAAGATGCTTTGACCTTTGACTCCTAAAATTGATGAATCAATACAAAACAGTCCCTTTCAACGTATCAGGAGATAAATCTGATATCATTTAAGTATGCAAAAATTGAAAAAAAAAGGTCCCACTGAAACACAGTTTCAAGTCATGTTGAAAGAGATTCATAATTTGACAAGGACATGTGAATCTAGGTTCTGAAGCTCAGAAGTATGCACAAAGCAGTTTGCAGCCCACACTGTGAAAACTAGAGCTTTGCATCCCCCATTTGAAAACTGTTCTTTGTCTTTCCCCATCACCATAATTAACTAGTTCTTACTCATTAAACAATGAAACAGACAATTAAATAGTAATAATAGTCCTTTAATTATGAAGGTATTGTTATCTGCATAGAACATGGAGAGAGGGATTTCTTCGATTGTGTTTCAAATGTTTGCCTCTCTGATTTTAAAATACAGAAAGAAGAGAATGTTCACCATTTCAGGGTGTCTAATAAGACAAGGGGACAGAATCTACACCCTCCAGACGACCGTTTCTGATGAGCAGGAGTCTCACGTATTAATGGAGTAAGCACTGATCAGGAGACATGAATCCTTAACAAGCATCCTTAGAATTTTTCAAGAGGCAACTCTAACCACGCTAAGAATCATCGGCGAGTATTTTTAGGCACGAGGATGCATGATTAAGATCAAAGCCCTGTACTTGATGACTTTCAGAGTTTGTTAAGCACCGTAACACTGGGCTGAAATTCAATTTGAACTACTCGTCAGCTTGTCTTTCACTCTCCCCTTTGGGCACAGTGTGATTTTAATACCAGAGTTGGCTCTGGCATTATTATATTTTGATACAACAGAATAAATTATCACATCTCTGGTTCGACAAAAACAAGTTGCATTTCCAAAATGTTTTTGTCCTCACTCCTAACAGTTCTCTGTAGCAGAGATTCGAGTTTTTTGAGAAAAAGCTGTGAATATAAACAAATTGGATCGGGATCACAGTAAAATCCCTTCTCCCTCACCCAGTCACTTGATAGGAACATGCAGCCTCTGCTTCCTAATCAAACATACACTTCGTGTTTACTAATGGTTACATGTGCACTGTCAAGGGAGGTAGGAATGTGTGGCTACTCGCATTTAGATTATACTCTCTGTGGCCTTGGACAAATGATTCCTCTTATCCTCAGACTCTCCTTTGTAATCAGGTGCCTGTGTAGGCTTTGATGACAAAGCGGTCTTTCCAAGTTCAACATTTAGCATGTCCCAGGTTTCATGTGTACCCGGGACTTCGCTGTCAGGCACTTTGGATTCTTAGACATTGCTTCTCTCATTTAGTTTTGTTCTTTGATACCATGAACCACCAACTCTTCCTAGAAGATAAAACTAATCAATTATTCTTTTGTTCTGTTCTTCTCTTAATCAAGCACATTTGGCTTTTGGATGTTTCTGAGAGAAATGCTATTTTTCCTAAAAGGACCTTTACCTATGACCTGTGACCATTGGCTTCAGAACTATTAGCCAGACATAGTAGTTCTTTGTAAATCTGTATCAAGCTCTTCAATATGCTTCATTTAAAAATTTGTTTTTGGCAAAGACTGTAAAAAAAAAAAAATCCAAGGAGCCATGGGACCACAGAGTCTCAGAAAAAAGACACATTAGAGTGAACTTTGAGGTCCTCATCTGCAGGACAACAGCCATCAAGGCTCCCCATGGAGTCTAAACTACATTATTATCTAAGGATACAATCATGACAGGCGTTCGATAGCATACATGACCAGCTCTGTAGTCATGCTATTTCTAATGCTTAGCCCTTCTCCCATCCTCAGCAGAGAGGCCCCAACTCTTTTAAGTCATACACGAACAGTTACTTAGGGAGAAAATCTTTAGAAAGAAGTACCTGGAAGTTCCTGTAGAAATTCACATCTGTTTCTGCTCTCTATAGATTCAAAAGACACATCCCTCGGGCTCCTTAGACCTTCCTGGCCAACAGTGTTTTGGCAGAATACTATCTGGCAAATGGTTAATAAGAATGAATCAAGGGATTTTCTGAGTAGAGTTCAAGATTAGAAAACATGGATGTGTGAAATTTTAATTTACAAGGTCAACTATTTAAAAAAAAGTACAATTACTCAACTCCGTGCAATGGGTTACAGATCTGCTCTTTCAGGATAGTAATGCGCCAGGCCATAGACAGCCCTTCAGGCTGAGGGTAGCTGTTAGGATCCACACAATCCTAAGTACAGAACTAATTCCTTGTGTTTTAAAAGCAAAGCAATAATGATTCTTTGTAAATCTATATCAGATTCTTCATTGTGCCATTAGTTTCTTCTGGCAAGAAGTATAAATAACCCAAGGAACTTAGAGACCACGGTGTCTCCTACACTGAAGACCGAGACTCTCATGTAGGGGACAATACCCATCAAGTCTTCACCACGAGTCTGAGAAACATCTGATCTTTAAAGCATCACATGATCACTGGGAACTCAACACATGCCTTGTCTTTTTTTCTGAATCCCGACACAGAAGAAGTGATTTCATCAATTTAGTGGCCAGGTTCCTTAGTCCAGGTCACATGATATTTCATTATTTCAGTGCCTTGAGTTAATTAATGAGCTGAAGAAATTTGAAGGAATTATTGTCTCTCTGTTTATCTACACAGTGCTCTCCACTGATTTTCAGTGTGCTGTCTCCACAGCCATTCAGTTTGCAACCTGCTCTCTGGCATTCACATGTATTTTATGTATATTCTGCTAAGAGCTCACTATCTTAATTCATGAGGACAAATGTTTGGCTCTTTGTTTGTTTTTATATCCACTTTAAGGTACTTTCTAGGGAATATTTTCTCATTCATAAAATGCAAGACTGCCCTCAGTTGCTTGATCTTATCAGGGAAGTAGACATCCTACCTTTTTGAAGGGAAATAGAACAAAAGATTAACTTTTCCCTGGAATATTCTATACCAAGTACTTTATATGCATTACCTCATTGGGTCCTATAATTTGCAGAAACAAATTATGATGAGATGGGGAGATTTCCCTGGACTTGACATCTCTCTGCCGACAGCCAGTTAATGGTGGAAAGGGTAGCTTAGGACACTTCATTGGCCACAGAGCTCATGCTTTCCTAAATTGTCTTTCTGGCTTGACTCATAAAAGAGGAGCCTTATTAAACTCATTCTTTCCTGGTAAACACCATCAAGTACAGGCATGAAGCCCATGTGGGCCATTTGGAAATGAAAGAGGCTCCAAGTAGAACTGGTTTCCGATCATTCGCTTTGAAACAAAAATAATAGGAATGACTGTCTCATCTAGTGCTTGCTCTTCATCAAGCTTGGTACAGCCCCCCCCCCAAAAAAAAACATTATCTCCCCATGCTTCACGGGGGTTTATTGTCCTTCCTTAATAGACAAGGAACTGAGAACCAGGGAGATTGTTTGCCTTGACCCACTTGCCATGGTCCTCCATAGCTCTGGTGTCCCCGGATGCACTAGATGAGCATTTTATTGTCCGCTTTGACGTTAGAACAGCTTCAATTTTTGGCCTCTGTAAATCTTAAAGTAGTTGATACTGATAGGGAAGAGCAGATTTCTCTCAAGACACAGGGACTTCTTTTGCTTTTTGAACAGCATTCCTAAGGAAAGCTCCGTAGTGCCACCAGAGGAGCCCTTAGTCTCGCAACTGAACAGAGCTGTGGGGTTGTCACTGAGTAAAAGGGACTCCAGGCTATGGGAATGTTTAAGTGTTTCAGTCACCCAGAAAATAGTTAATTCTTGCTACCAGACAACAGTTAGACGTGATGGGAACAGATTCCAACATTTAATGGGATCTAAGATGACATGTTGTATAAAATTTTCAAAGTGAGATTCTTACATACATAATTTATCTCTGTAATTAAAAAGCCTAATTTAAAAAAAATAATACAGATGCAACACATGATGGTGTGATTTTTTTTGTCACAAAAACAAATTATTATCTTGATAATGCAATACTATAATTTACGTTTGCTACAAAACACAGCACTTTCACGAACTGCATGATAAGTGTTCTCTAATTATTTCCCTTCACATTCTCCTCTTAGCCCCTTGTTTTGTTGCGAGATGATGAGAATCCAGGTTGCTTGAGCCCTCTCTGGCAGTTGTTTATGGGGTGAGGCCAGAATTGAGGGAGGAAGGTCCCTTGGTTTTATCCCATTGGTTACATAAAGTAAATGCCATTTCCTGCTTTAATGTGAATGGCCATGCTGCAGAAGCTCTCCAGGGGACCTATGTTTAGTGTGTGTTGGTTTCATTGCAAATTCTTCATGCATCCCGCAGATGAGAACGGAGGACCCACTGTTACGGGGGTACTTTAGCTATAAATGACCGTTATATTTCTGGGCAGCCCCCTTCAACTCCCTTGCTTCCTTCCTGGTTACAGCGCCATAATTCTCGGGCAGGAAGGGAGTGTAAATAGGTCTCCCACTGCTGATGGCGCTTTGCTGCTTCCAAATTGATGTGGATGGCCCTTTAGCTCTGGAGACCCCGTGCCTTTCACCTTCGCAGCGCTGGCGTTTGTTGGCCCGCGGCTCCGGCCCTGAGATAAATCCTTAACTAGGGTTCTGTTTCTACAGTCTGCAACATATCAGAACTCAGCCGGTGGGGTGGGAATTTCAAACATTTTGGAAATTTACACCTTGTCACTCTCTGAGGGCAATGATTTCAAGAAATTATGCTATCCCCACCCACCTTTGCATACTAAGGATGAAAACCCAGAGCTAAAGAGCTGAAGGTCAGGGAAGTCGAGATGAGCCAATGCTTTGTGGGTATTTCCCATTATTATGCTAATCATATGCATGGTCGTCCTGCTCTTACACATCCATTTTCATGGCCAAAAGAAGAGGAAGAAAAAAAAAATTGGTGTTTTAATGCTAAGATTGTGACAATAAGTAAATAAATAAGGAAAACAGTGACAAACAGTGAAAAACCTCAAGTAGAGGCACATTTGCACTTGGCTTGTGATACTTGGGAGAAAGAAGTAAAGAAAGGACTTACAACATTACTTTTTAAAGTCAAACTGCATTTCTGTTGTGTTGTTTTATTGTGGACTTTGGTATTCACACCGAAAATCATATCTAAAAAGGGACGCTAATTCCTGGCCACCTCGTGTCCCACTGTCAGCTTTCTTATGACGGTGTGTATGTCTGCATGTGTGCGTGTGCCCATATGTGCATGCATGTGTGTGCCTGTGTGCATGTATGTGTGTGTGGATGTTTGAAAATAAATTTTAAGATATTTATTAAAACATTTGCTATGGCTCTATCTTGTGCCTCTGACAATAACATTATTTAGTATGAGTCAACTGATTCTGTGAGGCTCCAAACCTGTCATGAGTTTTCCACTTCAGTGTTCTGAAAATAAATAGCAGTGAATTGACTTGCTTTTTGTAGATTTTGTGGATTAAGAAAAAAAAAAGGATAAGTAATTTAACTCCTTTTTCTCCTGTTAATTCTATAACATGTTTTTGGAAATGAATAATCTTGGGGTCACACAAAGAAATACACCAAGTGAAAGCAACCTGGCATTTTCTTTCTAT